AATAATAATAATAATAATAACAATAATAATACCAATAATAAAACCAATAATAACAACAATAACAATAATAATAACAATAAATAAAAATAATAATAATAATAATAATAAAATGAAGCATAAACGCTAAGTGCTAAAATACTCAGCTATTTATTAGGATGAAACTGACTTATTTAAGTTAAAACAATCAGAACAAAAGTTAAAATTGACTAAATAAAAGCTAAAATCAACAGAACAGTAACTACAAGCTAAAAACATGCTAAAAATTGCTGCAAACTATGTGCAAAACAGCAGCTAGAAGCTAAAATTAGCTAAAACAATAGTTAAAACCAGCAGAACAGTAGCAAAAGAGAAACTGAGTTAAAGAGAATTTGGGGGTCACAATTAGCAAAACAGTAGCTAATATTAGCAAATAATCGCTACAAGATAAGAAAATAAAAATACACGGATGAAACTATAAACTGATTCTTTGCCAGGCGTGATTCCAGGCCGGATTCTAAAATCCCACACTTCGTAGCCTCACCGGATCAGAACCGTGTTGAAGTTGCCCATCTCCAAGTCCAGCCTCTGGTTCTCGGCACGAGCCAAACCGAAGCCCACGGCGAGGAACATCAGGGTGAGCGTGGCCATGCGCGTGAACACGAAGCTCGCCGCCCAGACATCGAACCTGAGCCGGAACACAAACAACGTCACCCAGGCCCGCTTCGCCTCAGGAGCCTTAAACAACAGACTCACACACGGATGCTTTAGGGCTGAAAGTACCCACATTTTCTGATGGCTCTCATCTGTGAAATACAGGAGTCTGGCGATGTGGAAGCCCAGTTCTGACACATACTGGAGGAAGAGGAGCACCACACCCACACGACTCAAACTGACAAACAGGAGGAACAGATTAGGTGGAGAAAAAAAACAAACAGAATATTAAACTCACAAACACTGTTAGATGTATCTTCAGAAGGTTTCTGCAGTCACAAAGTGGGAGTTTCTCAGGTGTGGGCGGAGTTTGGGTAAGCTGTGATTGGTCAGATTGACTTGTGGGAACAGTAAAATTATTGTGAACATGTAAATATAATCTACATGTTCAGCTAGCACCGTCCTGTCTCGGGTTACGACTAAGATTAAAGCAGTTTACACAAACCACGCCCACAAGTAAGTCTGACCAATCACAAGTTACTTAAATTACATGTCACTCCAGCCAATCATGGCTTAGCCAATCTAACAAGAAACTCCCTCTTAACAAGGAGTTTATATAGAACAGCTGGAGGGCTCAAAAACCATGTGACCATGTGATCGGCTGGTGAAGCTAANGGATGGGACGACCCACTGGTGATGACAGAGACAGTTGTGTGTTTTTTCATTTGTTCGAGTATCAAAGCGCACATCTACTACTCACAAGCAGGAGGAAACTTCTCATGCTAGCTGCTGTCCGTTAATCTTTGCCACACTGTGGTCAAACTCAGTTTATGTTGGAGGTGTTCATTCTGTTGTGAAAACTGACACAAAACTTCAAGATTTGCATTATGTTAAGTTTTAGGGTTAATAACCATTATAACACTTCGTCAGTCGATTATTATTTAGTTTAATCAGCTATTTCAAATGGAATTAACTGCCATTTTCAGAATTTCTGACACTGAAAGTGTTTGAGACAAATAGTTGCTAAATTTGTGTTT